GTTTAGAGGTTGTTTGTTTGTGGTTATTCGCATCGAAGATTTAGAATTTCCCATAATGAAGCATTCAAAACAGAATTTTCGAAAGGTTTTTTGACTTCAGAAATAAAAATTAAGAAACGTGACAGTGCAAAATTACACGAATTCAAAACAAAATCAAATCGTTCAAGAGAAATTCGCAAATGAATTTAAAACCAAAAATTAATTCGGAACAAATACACGAATATAATTCACTCAATTAAGGAGGTCTTATAGATTGGTTCGTCACAAAATTGTATATAAATAAGCCGAAAAACAATAACGAACCCCATGAGCATATACGTCATCACGAATTCGTCTATTTCATCGAAAAATCCTATTAGCATGACGAAATCTGAATTTGAAATCTGAATTATTTCGATCATCTGATCGAAATTCCAATTTGAATTCATAAACAAATGAAAATGTTCAATCAAATTCTCATGATAAAACATTGGCAAATCATCGGGATTTCCAAGAAATCTTGCACTGCCTTAGTTCTATTCATACCTTAAGCATCATAAATCAATCAACCAGAAACAAAACAAAACGCATGCTCTTGCGACTTTACACTGCAATCAATCACTCTTCTGCACACATAAGAAAATATGGAACAAACGAAGAAGCATAATATATACAGACAAAAAACTAAACGCGCATGTGACACAATCTGTTAGACTGAATTTGAGTGGTCTTTTTTTCGTTTTGGTTTATTTACACACTGAAAAACCGACTTCGAGACTACAAATGATTATATACAAAATGTCGATCACAATTTTATAAATATGATCGTTTTAAAAATAAAATAAAATCACAAACGGAAAGCTGTTTAGAGGTTGTTTGTAAAAATTTAAAATTTAGAATGATTTCCAGTAAATTGATTCACAAACAACCAAAAGTTTCGCTAGAAAACNNNGATTAGATTAATATTTCGGTAATTTTGCATCCTTCAGATTTCGTCGAGCATTTCTTCGCTTCACATTGTACCGTTTTTGGAGTACCGGTTGATAGAACTCATCCGATGTCTCCTCATCGCCTGGCTGCTCATCCCAACTTTCTGGATTCACATTCTTTTCCATGCGTTCATCATATCGCCAAATTGCGGTCACTCCATCCCACTAAATCAAATAATTCTGTTTATTTTCATCCTATTCAAATTCATTTATAACTATTCCTTTCATTTCAACCTCAACTGGAAATCATTCTAAAAATTGCTGAATTCCACATTCGAGAAACATTTGAACTCGCTCCCAACTGTGAAAAAAACTTTTCAGAATCACTTCGAGTTTGGTTCAACTTTGAAGTATTCTTTTTGATGAATGGGATAGCAACTAATTTATAGTATACATTCCACTTCTCGTCTGTGATCTACAAAAAATCACAACTTTTCTATCTCAGTTCTCAAAGACTAAGCGGAGGAAGAACCCAGAAAGAGATGTAAAGTCCTTATTTGAGGACGACTGGAGAGAATATCACAAAAAATAC